ACTCGAGGTCAGAAGTCACGAAGATGCACGAGACATGCGTCTCAAAGCTGCTTTGAACTGTGATAGGGTTGATATGCGCCTAATGTCAGCTGGTAGTGTGTTGTAGTATGCTGTGCCTCTGAATGCGAATGTGCAGTGGTCAGCTGTGGTAGTATAGCTGGGTTTGTGAAGCAATGAGGTAAATCATTGCTATACAAATGAACAGTAAGGGGCCCAGGATGGAGCCCTGTGGTGCACCTAAGGTAACTGGTTAGAAGTCAGATTCACATCTATTCATACTGAGTCTGTTCCCACTCAACTAAGTAATCAGTGAACCAGTAAAGCTCTTCACCCTGAACACCAACCCAGGACAGTTTCAGAAGTAGGACATTCTCATCAGCAATATCAAATGCTAACAAACATAAAACTATCTATGCTGTGTGCAGTAATCTGTGGCATCAAGAAGGGTTGTAGTTGTGGCATGTCCAGGTTTGAAACCTGGCTGTTGTGTAGAGAGAATCTGGTGAAGATGCAAGCATTGTAAGAACTGCCCATGTAACGTTACCACTTTTACAAATGCCTTGTTCATTATGACAGGCAACACTGAAATAGGTCTATGTATGGGTGTACCTCTGCCATGGCCCTTTCCCATTCTCTTGGAATGTGGCCTGTATTGAAGGACATTCAATATATGAGCAATAGGTTTACAAACCCAAAGGTGCATTGTCATTAGATAGAGTTAGAAGTTCAAGGGTTAGGTGTAACAAGTCGATCGGTGTAATATAGCCAGCTGCCGCCGCGCCGCGTGCCTGTGAAGCTGGTGGGTTACACCGAAAGGTAGTTATACCGGCTATACAGACACAGAAACCCATGGTGCAGCAACTTTCATGCATATGTCACTTCAGTAAACACGGTCAATGAAACTAAAATTAGTCATGGAATATGGGTTGGAATGCTAATCACCTGCCACAGTTCAAACTTGAATTTGCAGCTGGGGGTCTTGAGGTTGGTGTTAAAGTTGCCCAAAAGGAACAGCTCAGACTCAAGAGCATCCCTCAAGAAGGAGAAAAACTCTTCTGGGCTTGTTGGCAGTCTGTGTACGTACAAAAGCATGTAGTAATTGATTTAGTGTATTGCAACTGAGAAGAAAAACAGGCTGTATCAGCTCAGGTCTTGAAGCATGGCTGTGAGCCTCAGACACAAATTTCTGTCATTTCTGTAGTGATAACCATCTATATGCAGTTCAGAGTCAAGGATGGTACTGTCGCTAACCGTCATAACATCAACATTAATTAAGACATAACACAGACAGTTGGTCAAGTTTGCTCTACAGCAGGCTACAGATATTCAGATGTACAATGATAAAACCCTCTGACAAGAGTATCATGGAACAACTTCTTGAGATTTTCTTCTTCATTTGAGTCATCATTCTTTTCTCCACAATCCCCACTTTCACCAGTAGTCACTACTGTGGGCTAAATCATGGTATGTTTGTATGTCCATGTCAATACATTTGCTATGAAACAAAAACATCATATAGATCACAGCAAATACCTTTCTGGTTTCTTCTAACTCCTTTCTTGCAAACACCACAGGAATTCTTGACATTTGCCAGGCCCTGAGTTTACAGAAACAATACAGAAAGCATAAGCCATGTATGAAAATTGACATTAATGGAGTTGGCAGTAGTACTGTTACATGATTGGTGCTTATAATAGATGTACCAGATATTCTAATTTCAAGGTCTTTGGGAACAGGATACTGGGAACATAACCATGGCATTATTAACTGCAGTAAAATTGCCAAGTCAATTGTCTAGGCAACATATAGGTTGCTGAATCTGATTGACTGGTTACATTTATATAGGACATGCAGGATTTGCTAACTGTAGGGGCAGAACAGTAATAGGTATAAATTGTAAGTACATGGTAAACCCCATGTTCAAAAAGAGTCCAACATATTAGATCACAGCAGCTTGGTCGATGCAGTAATTTGCTAACTGTAGGAGGAGAGCAGTAATGGGTATAAATTATAAGTACATGGTAACAATAACCTACCTACCTACCTACCTAGTCCCATGACCGACACTGGTCGTCGGGGGGACAAGGCAGACCTTGCAGCAGAGGTGTAGCCAAGTCTTCCTGTCTTGGGCTGCTGTCAGGAGTTGTGGGACGGTGAGGGACAGGATTTGCTAACTGCAGTAATGGGTATAAATTACATGGTAACCACCATGTTCCTAAACTATCCAACACTACAGCTTGGACGATACAGTAACGAAGTACAGATTGCAAGGACCAAAGATGGTCTATAACAAGTTAGGTGCCATTGAGATGAAAAAAACTTGACGCTGATCGACTGTGCTCTGTCGAGACTGAGTACCCTCCCCACCTATAACAGTTTAATTTTCGCGCCAAACGCAGACGACAGATAGAAACGGCAATGAAACTGAGGAAAAAAGTTCGGCATCGGAAACGTCTACACCTATTTTGGGTTGAATATCGTCTGGGCTCTATCACCTATACAAAACAAGGTCGAATGTGTGAATTAGTGTGAGAAAAAGATCAATTTTATGGACTTACTCTCCAGTATCACCGGACGCCGCCATCTTTGACGCTGCTGACCTCTGACCTCATTGCGACTTTTTGAAATTTTATCAGCCTATTAGTGTAGAAGTATGTAATGTGGGTTTGTTTATACATTGGTAAGACATTAGCTATGGAAAAAAGAATAATTAAGTCCATTTTGACCAAATGCTGAACTAGCACCTATTCTTGTGCACTCTGCTATTTACCAAAGATTGTTTATTGCAATCTAATTGTCACAACCTGACCGAATTTGTTGTGTTGTTACATGCATTTTGCAACGTAAAGGCTGTGCAGAGGCAAATCAACTATTTATAGATAATCTATCAATAACTATTTCAAGCTTAAATGTAATGGCTATTTGTTTAGTATAATTATTATGTTAGTAATTGTTATTGTTATATTGTATAGGAGGAGAGGCAATCTGAAAGACGATTGGTGTCCCCTGTTTGCCCCTCCCCTCCATTGTGCTTGTACTCAGTGGTACATTGAAATAAACAGATATCGCTTTGTGTTTTACAGACGAATGGTTGTGTCTGGACTGAAGCCTACCGGTGCCCGGCATGTGTTCCCCTGTATGGACGACCCAGCTATGAAAGCCACCTTTGACGTCATAATTGAACATCCATCAGGCAAGGAAACCTCTACTGACCAACTTAGTCATACTTAGGCTTAGATCCTTCCGTACCTTAAGTGACACACCGGGCGTCAGACTTAATCAACTTATTAGTGTGGTCTCGGGCCATGTTTTATGGCTACTTCAGATGGCCTAGGGTGTCCATGGTCATTTGATGTTGCTGGTGGAAAACAGTTGCTTGTTTTGTATCGTCAGGTTATGGCTTTAATTGGTGGTATTCAGCAAATAAAGAGACGCCTCACGTAGTTTGTTTTTGCGCTATTTCAAAAGCTTGAGGTATTAACTGTGGTACGAAATGACAGTAAATTCCAACGTCAGACAGGTTTCATAATGTAGATTTTTTTTGCTACACTGGAATTGTATGACATGCCTTAAACTGTGTGATTTTAAGTTCTATTCTAGAAGCATAATTGTTGAGAATGATAAAGATTGGCCACGTACATCATCATAAATCTATATCTACATCAGCTATAAACCAGTCATATATCAGGTTGTCTTATGAATTATAAATAAAGAAAACACAACAATATTTTTATCTTCTATTTACCTGTAACAGACCAGATCGCTCTTACCAGCAGTCCGTCAGAAAGCACAACCACACTGGCAAACGGCTGGATACGAGAAACGTTCTACAGGACGTCAAAGCTGTCTACTCATCTGCTGGGGTTTGCTCTGTTTGAGGGGTTAACTGAATTAGAAAGATATTCATCTAGAGGACAAGTGGTGAGGATGTGTAATGATATTCAGAATATTACGTAGAACTATTTTTAGATTCAGCTTGAAATTAATTATCTAGTATGCTTTTAGAATTTGTTTTCATCACAAATAACGAAACCTTTTTTTTTTTATTTTGAAATCTTAAAAAATCTCGAAACATGCCAGCTGTTGTATTGCCCGATGGTATGGCCCCAGATCGTTCGTTACTACTGAGGAATGTAACTGCAAGCGTCAAAAAGTTAATAAATATAATAGTTTCAGGTTCAGTGTTTGTTTAAAGTTAAGACTTTTGGTCCAACAGTCTACTGAGGAAGACCAGAGTGACTGGTCGAAAGCTCTAGGTGAGAGATTTTTTTTTGTGTCGGACCAAAAGTCTTAACTTTAAACATGTAACTACCAACACAGATGAACTTTCATGATAGGTTCAGTGTTTGTTTATTCCAGGTGCGAGTGTGGTCTCCGTTTGATCCGAACACGTCACCAGCTGCTGAAGTCGCGTTAAACACAACCCTGGATGCCATAAGCAACATGAAGGATTTGTTGGGGTTAGATTATCTTCTTCAAAAGACAGGTAAGCCGAGGCGCCGAATTGTCCAGTGTGGGCAAACGTAAAAGTAGCTGAAATTTAATATTCAAGTGGTCGTAACATGACTTTAAGCAAATTAAAGTGTGACAAAACGGACCTTTTAAGAGTGCTTAAAGAGCGGATTCCGTGTAGTGATAACGGCCAGATATACGATCTAGAAATCACAGGTTCGGTCCCTAACATTCCTGAATAGACACTGTGTCCTTTTTATCCATACGTGATCCTGCATATCCTTCTCTACCGTAAATGGGACAACCTTTGTTTCACCCATCCATGAAAGGTTGCTCTATCAAGAGCACACTTATAGTCTTTTTTGGAGCCAAACGTTGCTCTTTTCAAACAATGCTGTCCTTTCAGAATCAGGGTATATCTCGCACTTTCAGTAATGAATCAATATCGCGTGGCTCATCTGACATTTCCTACTTCTCTATATAAGGTAAACCCACCCTTCAGCGTAACACAACATCTTAGGAGGCAGTAGGCTAGTTGGCTAATAGTATATTACACTGCACAAAATGCTACAGAAAACCTTTGCACATCTACATCCAACTGCATGTAAGAACTCTTTAAAGCTATTTAGTGATGTGGCACCTACTGATCTTGGTGACAGCAAGCTGCACTCTTCTTCCATATGCATAGTTCTGTGAAAAAGAGTCCTCGGTTGACAACCCTTGTATTGATCATTACTATTCATAGTTTAATCTGATTTTGTGTTAGATACGTAATAGCTGCTACTTTCACCATGGTCTAGACATTTTTATTAGTAATAAGTACTTTTCCTCTGGTTCTCCTCTGTATGTTTTTAGATGTGCTGCCCGTCCCTGGCCAAATCGTGCCTTATGACGTGTACAGTGGCCTTCTGATGGTCAGGGATACTTTGCTATTTTGTGATGTCGACGATTCAAGCATCCGTGATCAACTACAATGTGCGATGGCACTCAACCATGCAGTCGCGCACTATGTACGTAAATACATACAATCTTTCAGTTGTAAGAACATCATAGATGCCCTTCTCGTCCTACCCTTGGTATTCAACGGATTGCTGTTGGTGCTATTGTTTAAAGTCAGAAGAATTGTATTAGCAAACGGCAGGCTACATATATACATATACTTCAAGTATAGTAAAGTTACACATCACATATAATTAAAGGCCATATGATTCCAATAACAATAAAATATATCAGTTCCTGAAAATAGTCAAATACGATATAGAGAACACCTTGTAAGCCGCATTGCTAGCCCTACATGTTGGCAGCAAAATATGTTTTTTTTCTCTCTCTAATGTTTACACTTAAACTGATTAACGCTTTCCACTAATAGGATGTGGTACTGATAATTTATTTCTTTTTAGTGGTTTGGAATAACAGTGACTGCCGCATGGTGGAGTGATCTGTGGGTGACAGAAGCTCTGAGTACGGAACTAGCATATGAATCACTCGCGTGTCATTTTCCGGAATTGTCTATGGTAAGCCTTGCTTACAAGCATTATACTGTTTATTGCTACATCACCAAATTTCCAAAGTGAACAATAGTCATAAAAATCCTCTACTATATGACATTCCCAAATAGTACAATATCGGTACATATAAGCAACAGCCTGTGAAAGACCCTCACTATTGGTAAACTAATTTAAAGTACAATAAAGTGACACCTAACTTCAATACACAGTGAACCACTTGCGAAAAACCAGTTAGAGAGTTGTAGATAAACGAAGTACAATAGAATTACATTATAGATTTTATATCTGCACTTACAAACGGCGTTGCGTACCATCCATTTTCCACATGCACAATAGTGACATAGCCATTGCAGTATTGTCACACGTTTTTGTGTGAATGCATGTGAATAAAATAGAATAAAATACAAATGAAAATGAAAATAGTTGTTTGTTGTAACCCACAGGAACCAATACAACTTGTTGAATCTGTGCTGCCAGCCTTTCTTTATGATGGCCACAGTGAGACCAGATCCTTAAACAGTGAAGCTTGGACCGACGAAATATTGGATGGATCCCAAAAAATTGTCATGTCAGGCAAGGTGACAAGAAATAATCAATATGGGTAGAACATTAATCACGATTAAGTTTGCATTGACCGAGTCAGTGTGTAAGCATATTAATGTACAGCAAATCAATTTAAGCTGACATGCGTCTTGCGACATTTACGAAAATACATGATAACTCTATTAATGTAAGACATTAAGCTCTTCAAATTTGTCATGTCGTCAGAACAGATACGTCAATCGTGGATTTTTTGAAGTAAATTGCTGATTGCATTTTAAGGATTCAAACATAATTGACTCGATTGTTTACAATTCAAAGAAACGAAAGTAAATAATCTTATTTCATTGCTTTCAGGGATTAACTATACTAAAGATGGTCCGAAGTATTGTCTACGACTCTTCATACATGAGGGCAAAAAAGGTAAGATCATAAGATTTATCTTATAGCAGTTTGTCAATTTACAATTTTGCTAATTTTACCATTTTTATTAGATTTTGATAATGTCGAAAATTTTTATAGATACACTTCATAACCGGTTTTCTTTTATTTTTGAAAAGACCATATTAGCAAGCTATGACACAATCAACACATCGCAGTTATGGAGCACGCTGTCGCAGGTATGCTTGAATTACTTTGATAAATATGACATAATATAAAATTTAAAAAAGAGGACCGTATTAGAAGCATTAAGGTTATACCAGATGATATGTTTTGTATGTTATCCAGTGAATGTATGTGACGACGCAAAATTCGGCCGCAAGTTTGATATACAAAATAGGAAAAAATAATGTATGGTGACCGGCCCCTCCAACTCCGTCCTGCTAATTGCTTCATAATCATAATTTAACACCACAAGGCGTCAGTTACCATTGTGACATGTCGATAATCATCTGGTCAAGGTTAATTGACTTTTTCGTTTTGAATGGGAGAGGAAGAAGAAAGGGAAGAAATGGAGTCTAGGTAAACACTTAGGGTAAACATTAATAGATTAGAAATAAACTAAGGTCATTACTAGGAGGCAATAGTGCATTGACATTCTGTCTTGTATTTTAGGCAACGGATTCCTTTGTTAACGTGTCAGTTGTAATGAACAACTGGGTGTCTAACGCCGGTTACCCGTACGTCACATTGAGACAGACGGTGGAAAACAACGGTGCAAGAAGACTATACATCATCCAGGACGCATTCTCTTATTTTCTGGCTTCCAAAAGTACCCTGCAGTAAGTACATCCATATACCGAAAGAATAATGATGAATACTGTTTTGAAAGTAACCCAATAATAATTTTCCTGTATGTATTTTATGTATGAGAAACACAGGAGTGTTGCCTTCGGAATGTTGATATTTTCATATCTCATATAGCTGGAACATACCAGTGGCCTACAAGACCAGGGACCAATCGGACGCCAGGGTCTTGTGGCTTAATGTTAGCATCGGTAAGTGCTCCCATGCGTTTGCTGAAGGCCATGAATTACCTATATGACTATAACCTCCTTGCTATATCATAGGCTTGCATTGTAAAGCACTAGAGTTGAGCGCATTCAACGTAATTTCAGAACGGAGGGAAATTTATTGCATTACGATTATTTTTCTTAACTACAGAGAACATTTCTGACGACTCGTCTAAGGGAGAGTGGGTTCTTGGGAAAGCGGATTCCAACGGGTTCTACCGTGTGAACTACGGGCCTGGAAACTGGAAGTTACTGGCGGACCAGCTCCTGACCAACCACACAGTAATTTGAAGGATGTAATTGTCAATAGTGGTGTGAACTGTTAGTGCTGACAAGCAGCCGGCTAAATCGGACCGTGGTCATTTCGAGACTTAGCTTGTTGATTATGTGTTTAACTGTCACCTTTAGGAAGAAAAGCATATTACTAAGTTGTGTTGTCATGAGACAGATATCTTTATGGTAGGAATGTTTCATGAATAATCAAACCTTGAATGAGGCGTTGAACGGATGTCATAACCATGGAATTAATATTTTGGAATAAACAAAAATGTTTAAATGTTGAATGTATTTGATTTCGAACACAAGTAGTTCTGCAATTAATTTCACCAATTACAAATCATCGTCCAAGTTCAGTGTATAGTATTCGATATTTGAATAACCGTATAAGTATGCGTAAAGGCAGTTGAAAGAACGAAGCCTTTACGCACGCATATTAAGTAACGGATTTTAACTAGCTGAATTGGATCTCTTTACAGTCTCGGAAGGAAAATAGTAACGTGTGCTCATGTTTTTCCAGGTTTTCGACGTGTCGACGAGAGCTAGCCTTATTGATGACGCGTTCAATTTGGCAAGGTAACTTTGTCTGCAGACTACCGTATTCGTTTTGGAGCCAGTCCAGGGAACTTTGAAAAACGATATGAGAATTACTCACAAAAGCCTGAGCTTCAGTCTAGACAATTTCATTACTGAAACCCCTGTTATTTTAGATAACCCCATGAGTTTTGGAAAATTACAATTACCTGCATTACGACGATATCATTTGATATATAACAAGGCTTATTATACACCGTCTGGTTTATCAAAATGTATTTAAGAAGTTTGCCAAAACTAAATTAATACAATCGGTCATTAGTAACCGTATTCTTGGAGCCAGTCCAACAAAAGCTATCATTACAACAATATCATTTGGTATATAGCAAGTATACACCGCCTGTCATATTAGAATGTATTTAAGAAGTTTGCCAAAACTAAATTTATACAATCGACCAACCCGAGCATGGCCATTAGTAACCATATTCTTGGAGCCAGTCCAAGAGACTGAAAACTGTTTGTTTCCCACAAAAGCTAGAGCTTTAGTCTAGATCCTTAAATTACTAAAAAGCCATGTTTTTAGATAACCCATGTGTTTTGGAAAATTACAATCATTACAACAATGTTATTTGGTATATAGCAAGTATACACCGTCTGGTATATTAGAATGTATTGAAGAAATTTGCCAAAACTAAATTCGTATAATCGACCAACCCGGGCATGGTCATTAGTAACGTATCCACCCCTGTAATTGTTGAATCTCGGTCGATAGCAGGAACGCCACCAAAACCAACATCCTAAGTAAAGGGCCAATCCCCAATTTCAAGAGGGATAACGAGTGCTTGCTCATTTCCTTCTTTCTCCCATTACTTAAAGATGGAATAAGTAAGTAGCAGAAGGTCACTGACCCTTTGGCGTTGCTAAGATAATATCAAGCATATAAGTATTATTTCAGAGTTTTAAACCTTTGACAGGAAAGAGGAAATAGATCCTAGTGATGGCAGTGGTGGTGGTGGTAGTAATAGTAATAGTAATGATAGTAGTAGTAGTAGTAGTAGTAGTAGTAGTAGTACTGTAGTAGAAGTAGTAATGATAGCAGTAGTAGTAGGACCAGCAGCAGCAGCAGCAGCAGCAGTAGTAGTAGTAGCAGTAGTAGTAGTAGTAGTAGTAGTAGTAGTAGTAGTAGTAGTAGTAGTAGTAGCAGCAGCAGCAGCAGACAAGTTTATCCATTCGTTCATTTCATACACATGTCTAAAAGCCATGGCTGCCTTGGGGCTAAATTGCAGGCCTAGCCTTTAAACACTAAAATACTTTTAAAAGTCTCTTAGAAGTAAATGCAATAAATTAGCATCTGGAAGAATATTGATGTTTGGATGAAAACATTCCTATAATTTCAGAACTCTAATGATTGACATAAAGTATGGAAATTTCAGGGCATCGAGGTTACTTATCCCTACAGCCCTGGACCTGACCAGGTACTTGGATAAGGAAGACGACTACGTGCCTTGGAAAGCAGCCTTGCGGGCCTTGCATTACCTCCTAACTGTCATGTCTAAAAGTCCAAGCTACAACTCACTAAAGGTGATACATTTTAAACCTATTTTGGGTATGCTGTTTTGAATATATAACTTAAACTACCAATTGTAGTTGCATGTTTGAGATATTGACCATATTCATAAGTAGTAACAGCGCATTGTTACTATGCTGCTTAAATTTTAGTAATTTTTTACTGTGATTCCTGGCAAAAACCGCACCGAATAAATTCCTTTTCAAGTGGAAAGAACTTCAGTGAGATAATAGCACACCAAGCGGACTGCTTACGTATTACATTTTACTGTGATATATACTGCATTTCAATCGTTCTTTAATCCTCAATTTTACTTCAACATTGATCAGTAACATATAGAAGAAAAGGGAACTATTGAAGTTATATTCAATATCACGATAAAAGAAGTACTACTAGCTACGTTTTTAAAGAGTACGCTTTTATTGCAGGCATACATATCAAGTAAAGTGGTCGTTGCCATGAGAAGATACAAAATTCAAGAAGATGTCATCCGGAGGAGGCTACTACATTCGGAGTTATTTGAAGCTGCTTGTCGATATGGCGACGCTAATGCAACAAAAATTGCCACAGTACTGTTCCAAAAATGGAGAACAAGACGACAGAGGTAAGACGGTTGGACAGTCTTTGATATACATGTATCTGCAACATAAGTCATGCCAACAACTGTCATAGAGTCTGGAATTGATAGCACGTTTGATGCTAGCCTGTTGTTTTTATCTAATGCACTTTGCAAGGTCCTTTCCATATATTTTTTGAAAGGGTTTTTTTTGTTTATCACGACCATAATTATGTACCTTTCGATCATAAATAAGTTTCATATTAAAGAAAAAACAATAAACAGTAAAGCTTCCCATGCATTTCATGTAACATTTCATGTTGTTGAAATGCACTTCTTGTTGTTAAAATGTCAAAAAGTTCTTAACATAGAATATGTTTTATAGAATAGACCCCGATATACGACAGTCCGTCCTACAACAAGGGATAGCCTCGGGGAGCCAGGGTGAATGGAACTTTGTGTGGAGAAAATACAACTCCAGTTCAACAACCTCACCGCAGAATCGTGAACTCTTCTTGACAGTTCTAGCATCATCTCAACAAGATTTTATTTTGTACAGGTAAAAGTGTGGACGTATCCTTTTTTATTCCATTTCTCTTTATCTATTTGCACGTACGTAGTACAAGCAATTTACAAAACATATATTCCAACAGAAAAGTAAACGTTATGAGGTAAGGAAAACAACATTAGAAAAATGTGAGATAAAAAAACATGACTTGTACAGTTGCGGGCTTCTTGTTATAGCAACAAGGATAATAGATTCGGTACAAACCTAGCTTCTTATTTGAAGACATATTATTTGCATTAATGGACCTAAATTTAAGAATTCTTTTGAACGTATTACTACATGTATTTCTTTTAGACCGCAGTGTAAATACCTCTTAAACATTGAAGAGACGGAAAGTCTTGCAAGATGCCGTTGTTTATTAGAGAGCCACAACGGTTCTTGACAGTATAAAAAATTAAAGGAAAATGTTCTTTCATGCTTTGATATTCTGTCATTACACAGGTATCTTGGTTGGATAAAGGACGGTTTCAACATCAGGAGAGAAGATGTACCATTGGTGTTTCAGAGCATGGCAGACACCGTTGCTGGACGGGAACTTGCCTGGAAATTCGTTTATGGAAACTGGCGTGAATTACAACAAAGGTCCGTGCCCGTACGAGAAAACTTATATCACAAGTTGTATTGTAAATGTATGTTGTTAACTAATAAAGGAAAACTTTGGTCGAACATCATGAATTTGCCTCAATGGCAATGCTTTTTGAAGGAATATTTAAGAACGAAAAGTGACGTAGTTGAGACTGCGTACGAAAGATATATGCTTAATCTTCTTCATTTTTTAAACAATATTGATATCAGTGTATATCTGTCTGTCTTTTGATGTTGTTTTATTAGGTTTGCCGATACTCCGTCAATCCAAGAAGATATATTGCGATCGGTGTCATCACAGATGACGTCAGAATATGAACTGCAACAGGTACAATCAATCAAAACCATTCATATCTTCAGCCAAATGCCAATACAACATCCGGTCATATCTTTCATAGTCTGTGGAAATATATGGATCCTGAAACGGAACTTAACTGTCCTAGTTTTAAAACCATTATATTTTTAGGTAGAACACATATACATAAACAGACCCTTGCAATGTTGGTATGATAAACTATTACATGTACATGAATTTACTTTATGATGACTTTGAACTCTGACCTCTCGAATTATCTTCATTTTAGTTTTTTTTCCTCTCAATGACAATGTTCGTTAAGTATGGGTAGTTAATGTTTATTCTATTTTGGTTGTGTTATGTGTTGTATGCATGACTCCAGGAAGACTAGTGTAGTATTCATTGTACATACTCACTAATGTAGATCGTTCAAACAAAACAACATATAAACAATGTTTTGGGGGCCGTGCTTGGGAGACCATATTTGGCTATGTGTGACAGGGACTTTAACGATGTTCGTGAACTTGACTATCGTTGACATCTTCCTGCAGCTGCGGCAGCTGAAGGAGCTTATCGACATACCTCGTCTCAGAAGAATCCTTGAAAGGGCTGAGGAGCAGACCGACCTCCACATCCAGTGGCTGGCGGGAAACGAGAAATACGTCTCTGATTGGTTGGACAAAACTGACGTATGACGCAAACCCGGTTCTTGAATCTAGAATGGGGCGTCATCCCAGTTTATTCCCGGAAACAATAATGACAACCATGCTGCTGATAAGTAAAGATATCCAGAACTTCGTCGACCGACTTTTTTTACAAGGACTGCTGCCTAGAATTCCAACCGTGTCGTGGTCTATGTCGGGATGTAGTGTTTCATCACCACCAACCTCTACCTTCGACTCTTTGGCAAGTGGACAGCATAGATTACGAGACATCGTGCATCTCATTTTCTTTCAAGTGACTATGAAAACCAATGTCGTGCCTGCTTTTTAAATCTGCATTTGTGATTGTTAGCGGAAACCCATAGCAATGCGATTCTAGTTGGAGAGCGTATGCAATGGCGTTGTTGTTACACAACAATTCTTCATATTAAAAAAAATTCATTACTCTATTATGGTAACTATGAAAAGAGCTTGATATTCCCCTTTTGTATGACCTAGATAGGTGTTTTTTCAATAAAGGTACGTAAATGAAATATGCTGCAGTTGATTTTTATCATCATTACTGGTTTTTACTCATAATTTCAAGTATTCTTCATAGACCACAAAGAAACGTTTGCACTTTGAAATACAAAGAAACATACAAAGTTTGATAAAAATTCACTTTCTTTTTATTGACCCATTGTAAACGATGAAGTTCAATTACCTTGCATATCATCTATCCATTGTCAACAACTACATAGCAGCGAAAAGCACAAGGACAACAACGTTTATGATTACTCTTGCAAGTACAAAACAAAACGTGAGGATTGTACGGGACAATGGCCTTACTTCTCTTAATGGTACAATTTTTGGAGTTCATTGTATTTCATAAATGCAATGAAAACACATTACGGTATCACTACAAACAAGTTTTAGATGATAATATTCGGTCAATATGAAACAAAGAATTTAAAACTTGTCGCAAACTTTTCTCATTACTTTGCACTTTATGAAATGCTGACTGGATGTAATTATGAATCATAATTAAATTATATATGCAGTTTGAAACGACTTTGAGAAGAGACAGTTTGGTACCGGCACAGTAGCACCAACAACACTCGATAGGTGGCGCTTGATCACGAAAGAGCCACCCAGTGATCTATCATCAAAATATGCAGTGGTGACACGGTGTTGGTGAGGAAGACGAGCGATTCCAATCTAGGTTTAGCTTTCCTTCCGTAGGATTTTGACGAACCTTTCACCGAATGACTTCTAGTCTGTCATCAGGAGAAAAAGTATGTGATGGTTCTGTAGTTAGCGTTTTGTGTCCCTTGTGTCCGCCCGTGCACACGGCAACTTTAACCAGTCCTCGAGGTAAGGCAAGTTCCTGTCGATATACCTCTGGTTCAGTCTTGTAGCATGCACGGCTTCCTCCAACAGATCTCTCAGATACTTTTCTTGTACTGAACTTGAGAAGTGCTCCAACTGAAAATAAAAAAAAATACGTTGTTATTAAACTAGTTAAAACTGAGAAATTAAACTTACCCAAATACAACAAAGACGGAGGGCGCCACAGACTTCCTGGATGATTCACTGCTTCTTTACAAAAAGATGGAAATAGGGATATTACCATGGCGTCGGACATAAAGACGATGCTACGTAAAACGATGAAAGTCTTAGCAAAATAATATCACCTGGTCAAAATGTTGATCCGTTGATAGACCTGTTAACGTTGATTGGATGATGGCCTCTAGTAAGGTCGGGACATCTGCGTATCTATGATGGCGAAAATAAGCATTAGTGCCATGTACCTATCTCATCACTTCCGGGACGTATTGTTTTGGGTGGCGGTGATTCAGGGGGAGTTTGTATGTTTGTATGTATCTTGACCTGAGCAGCGAGGATTGAAAGTGAATCGAAGGAGATTGGGTTTTAGATGATTTCCAGGGGTGTGAGGTTAATTTTGGTAAGATGTGGTACTGGTATTAGGTAGCCAAAAATGTGCACTGGCTTATCATGCTATGAAACGGTGTTACACGTTATGTCATAAAATCGTGCAATGCTCCAATACAGTCAGGATTGAAGATGCTGGCAATACATCTTCTTACAAAATGTTGTTACAATGGAAAATGAAAACAAAGCAAAACTGCAATGATAACTAAAATACTTCAATTCTTTAAATGCAAGACTCTACTCACTTTGATGTCAGTTTCTCCCAGTTCCCTTGGACGAACTTCCAAGCTGTCTCCCTTCCGACCTTAGTTTGTGTCACACATTGAAATATCAAACTTGCCTCTTGCACCGTGATCCCTTTTTCTTCGAATATAAAATGAAGATATCTGAAAAGTATACGTTGCATTTATTGTATTCTCATTTTATATTACTGAAGAAAATAAAAAAGGACTTATTAGCTTATATATTCCATCCTATAGAAATTATAACTTGACTGAAAATTTTATTTAGTTTCTCTCACTACCTTATTATTAAACGCTATCTACTCTAGGATATAAAAACTAAAATAAGATACCACAATGATTAAAGTCTAGGTAAAGTCTTTACAAAACTAAACGCGGTTAACATATCAACTAACATGTTAACTAACCAATGAAAATATTAACCTCCACAGAACCCACTCCTGCTGTGACGCAGCGAGACCACAGAGAAATATTTGCCGTTCTTGTGCTGAGATGGCGCTAGAGTTACTCTGTTTCCACACGTGCCACCAGACGTTCTGGTCGCCTGCTGCGATCCCCACGTGTATGACAGACTCCTGGATGTCTGGGGGTATCCTGGAATACAAATCAATAATAAGTGTGCCCGACTCGGAACCAAGAGGTCCCGGGTTCGAGTCCTGACATGCCGATCTTGTGCCCTTGGGAAAGGCACTTAACACGACTTTCCTCACTTCGCTCAGGTGAAAATGAGTATTGTATTTCCCTTGTGTTGGTGGCGGCATTAATATAAGTTCAAAAACATGAGTGTGCCGTCACCACGTCTTGTTATTACATGTTTGAATGTTAAATAAAGAAATAGGAATACCGTTGCTTATTATACAATGACATAACGGTACGTGGTAATTGGTACATTACATATTCTTATGAACATGCACCAATGAGATACTTTAATTTAATAAAAAGAATCAAAGATATTTCCCATAATTCATGATACGTGACTGATAAACTTTGAACTTTATTCCCTTTGCTTTTGACCGTACTATGCCCATACCAACGTCCAAAACATGAATTTCACAACATAAAAATGAAATTTGTGAATGTGTGAGAAGGACTTTATACAGTTAAAGTAGGAGAACTTGAGTACAAATTCTCTGTATAAACGAACGAAAACTTACCTAATCCTTTTCCTCTTCCATCTGTCAAACATGATTTTTGCTCTTTTCGTCACATTTTTGTTTCCATTTTGGCAGGCTGCCTTGAACGTTACAGCTACCAGCAGTCTCTTTTCCGGGGATGGTTCTTGTAACGAGTGCCTTTTTAGTACCCTTGCTGCTTTTCTTGCTATATATTCCTGCAGAACAAAACATGAAAAAAAACTTCATCATAACCTTCTATGACGAATGTAATGTTCTCTTCCCAGTAGTAGTAGTAGTAGTAGTAGGCTATTTCAAATCCCATAGGACTATAATAAACACCTAGCTAAACATTAATCTATAGGAATATATATACTCTCATATTGGTCAAGGTAAGTACAATGCCCATGTATGCCCATGTATGTACGCGCGAATGATAGAAAAATCCTCAGAAACTATACTGCTAATAGCGCCACCTATCTTTAGTAACCATAACTTCATGGTTATCAAACTACATATTGTGTACAATTTCTATCCTCTAAAGCTTAGCACTATTCATACCTAACAATGTTTCTACCAACCTGCAGCCGGCAATGATATGGACACTGACTTGAGGTCGGACAACTTCCATGTACGACCGTTTTCACGTAATGAAAGGCATCCAGTGCGGCTTTCCAAGGCACGTAATTCTCCTCTTTGTCTAAGTACCTGGTCATCTCCATTGCTGTTGGAATCAACGATATACTTCCCCTGAAAAGAGAAAAAAGAGATTGGAGATTTCAGACTTCCGGGAAGTATCATTTTCTTGACCTTCGAGTTCACAGAGCTCTGATAAGTGCTTTGGATTTCCGTGAATGTATTGGAACTGTGGAGGGAATTGTGTGATGTAATTTAATCAGGTATTACACCCCCACCAAGCAAATACTGAATAAACTTCAGGCGTAACCTCCCTACCAATCAACTGTCAAAATCACCTCCGGATCCCATATACCATGTAATGAAGCTGTTAGGACAAGCAGAAACAAAAACCCACAACTAAGCCACCCAAAACAATACTTTCTTACCCTGAATTAAAAAAAAAAGTCAGTACAACACTCGCCCCATATACTTATGATAAACAAATCGCCTTTCTACTACGTCGCTACACCGTGATGCAGTACTACCCTACGTCGTAAGATGTCAGCCCACCTTACGTTGTTGAATGCATCGTCTATGAGAACTGCCCGCACTGACGGCTCCAGTAACTGAAATAACATAAGTACAGTAAGTACCCTCGGCATCACTTGGTTATTCTACACATGAAATAGCTGATATGATTATATGAACACACAGCATGTATAACGTACCTACCTGCTACGATGCATACTAACGCTGGTAAATGGCATTGAGAGTATCAAAATCTTTCTAGTAATTCTGAAAATGGGTTTTCCACATAGGCGACAAAAGGCGTAACACAGCATGGCATAGCCTCTTTACATACGGCCCCCACTATGCACGAAGTCATGTAATTGATCCAGAAATGACAAAAGATATCCCTTAAAAATAACACCATGCACATCAGCACCATTATTGGATATTCTAACGGGCAATTTAGAATAAAAAGATATCAAGAGAGTACCATAGAAAGATACAATTTTTTATGGTATGAATTATCCTTTTTGGGGTTTTTCTTTTTCTCGTTTTTAAGAATGAAGAAGCGAATATTCCCGTCACAATTGACTCCAACACATATCAAATATAGCAGCATAGAAAACTATTTTATGTTGATTGCCAGCAAATTCTTTAATAGATGAGAGGAAATAGAAACGTTTAATGCCACGGGCATTCACACTACAATCGACAATTACATCCATCAAATTACTGTGTGGTTGTATAGGAGGTAGTCTGCTAGCAGGGCCCAGTTCTTGTTGTCGTAGTCCACGCGATAAAAACCGCGAGAATCCGAGTTTCCCAGAACCCACTCGTCCGGTGATGTCACATCCGGTACGACATCTGTTGGGAAAATATTTTCACACGTAAGTTCTTTATAGTAGAATGTACGCTTTAGTCAAAATGACAACATTATTGAGGAAAATGTACACATCAAAGACATTTTCAGTTATTGTAAAGCGTTTTACTGAAGTTATTCTAGTGCAAAATTTGAAAAATAGTTTATACAGTGATGGTTCAACATTTTGTTCCAATAAACATCATACGTACACTTTTCTTCTGTCATGGTTAAAAGCTTGGTGTCTGTATGGCTTTCACTTTTCCACGTGACTGGTATCTCCCACCTGGAAAACATATACAAAGCGCAATGTTATAACATTATTCAAATTGAAATTAATGTATTTGAAACATCTATATAGCTATAGAACTCATAAGAACACGTTTGAAATCAGTCACTGGAGCCACTAGTGATGGTGAAAAACAAGCATTCCGACAGTGAAGCTACTTTTATTAGTTTAAGGGTGGCTGTGGTTGAAAGTAACGAAGACCGCTTTGGTGATGATTTGATAAATAATTAGCAGTACAGTAATCATGCAAACTTTATAATTCTGTAAGATATAAACACATCAGAAGTATTTTAAGACTTACGTATTTGGGTGTAAATGCCGCATAAAATCGACATATCCGGAGTAGTAAAAGGGCTCCTGGACGAAGAACATGTTTCTGGACTCGTCCCTTTCTTCATGCCGTCCGAGCGCCACGTACGGATATCCCAGCTGTGTCACCCACGGCTCCATAAAGGCGGCCACGTCTATTCTAAACCCTGTCGCCTGTGGTGTGAGAGTTTTGTTAACAGCATTTCTTATTACAATATTTAACAAGATGATAGCCACACAGAAACAGCTGACAATAGCTGTGGAGACTGTTCAACACCTTGATGGGGATGTCGTTTTGTAATATTAAATTACCTATGAAAACTGCAACAATTTAAAAAAAAACCGCATCATGCCACAAACTTTGTACTATGTGCGATTGTCGAGCAATAAAGTTCATTCCTTCATTCATTCTTTTATTCTCGCGCTTACTAGCAGACGACATGCCAAATGGCATACCAATGCGGCAAAGGGATCTTGTGTTAAGGTTCCGTACATTAAAGGCAAATAACTTCAAGAGAAAAAGAAAAAGGAAGATGAGCACAAACGCCTATGAACTAGACCCCCACCCCCACCCAGCAGAACATTGTCAGCACGCTTACCTCAGATACTGCGTCCCAAAACTGTGATCTATTCATGTTGTCTTGTGAAAACCTCGCTAATACATTCTGCAGGAAAATGTGACAAGAGTTTAAGACAACAACGTGCATCTTTAAAGTGGCTGTATCATTGGTAAAAGCCAGACACCCCGGTAAACAATGAGAATTTAAACAGTACTAATAGAAATAGAGTTACTGTAGTAGAGTTTTACTTGTTTATGAGTCGGTTACATGGTGTATAAATGACTTATAATTGAACGCTTTTATTATAATTGAACGCTTTTGTTTTAATATTGTTATAATGTTTAAACGGGCTATCCCACGTACGGCGACTCAGGGGTGAATCAGGGCGCTCCGTTGACCTTTGACATACCGTTACCATTTAAAGCAACCAAGATGGCGGTTGCAACTTTCTGGTGTCGTCTGCACGCATATCTGTAAGTTTTGTACAGTTTCTACCAGCGTAACTGCTATAATTTCATATCTTGACCACTCCGTTAGCTATCTAAAGAGTTATCTGTGCTATTCTGACTGAAAGTCATGTATAAATTGCTTGTTTCGTCAGCGTATGGAGACTTTTTCCCGACCGTTTTCTTTACGAATTTCAAATCCACAAGTTACATAGCCTAGCCCTCTTCTGCCCATCGTTATAACTACAGTAAAAGTACGACACACATTTATGCATTCTAAATCATTTACCTCGATTGCTTTTAGAAACTCTTTGTCACTGATGATGGTGTCAAGCATTCGCAGCAGTCCAATACCCTGTGGTGGAGGTAAAAAAACTTGTTACTTCCAACTATGTTGTTACCTGCAACTATGTTGTTACTTCAAACTATGTTGTCACTGATGGAGGTAAATTATGTTGTTGCTTTAGACTATGTTGTTACTGATGAAGGTAAATATGCTGTTACTTTAAACTATGCTGTTACTTGAAACTATGTTGTTACTTCAAACTATGTTGTTACTTCAAACTATGTTTTACTTCAAAGTATGTGGTAACTGATGGAGGTAAACTATGTTGTTGCTTTTAACTATATATGTTGTTGCTTTAAACTATGCTGTTACTGATGAAGGTAAGTAACTACATGTATGCTGTTACTTGAAACTATGCTGTTACTTCAAACAATGTTGATACTTTTAATTATGTTGTTACTTCACACCCACATTCTACTATAGTAATGTATGAACCTTTGAGTGTTGCAATTCTGAGCAAAAGTAATGGACCAGGTAGATAATGATAATTAATCCTTTCTCCATAGGAGTTTGACATGCTTCATGTATGTCTGATCTACATAGACAAGGCTGACCAGGGCTAGTAATACCACTAGATGAAGGTAAGCTATGTTGTTATTACTTTACACTCACATTCTACTGATATGGTAGGAATGTTTGAATGTTTGTGTGCTGCAATTCTGAGCAGAAGTTATGTACCTGTCAGCTAATGATAATTAACCCTTTCTCCATAGGACTTTGACATGCTCAGATCTACATGGACAAGGCTGACAAGGACTGGAAATTCCACCTGCATAAGCAGGTTAGTACATGTGAAATTGGAGCTGTGCAGGTATTTCTGATGTCTACCTGCACCTATCCTGCACTGGTCCATGTACTGAGTACAGGCAGATTAGTGCAGGCAAAATTGGAGCTGTGCAGGTATTCATGATGTCTACCTGAACGTAACCTGTACAAAATATGCACTGGGTATATGCAGTTTAGTGCATGTAAACTTGAACCTGTATAGGTATTTCTTATGGGTACCTGTACCTAACTTGTACTGGTCCATGTACTGGGTATATGCAGGTCAGTCCTGGTAAAATTGGAGCTGTGCAGGTATTTCTGTAATGTCTACCTGCACATACATGTACCTGCACTGGTCCATGTACTGGGTATATGCAGGTTAGTGCATGTAAATTTGAAGCTGTGCAGGTATCTCTGATGCTACCTGCACCTAACCTGCACTGGTCCATGTACTGGGTATATGCAGGTTAGTGCAGGTAAAATTGGAGCTGTGCAGGTATTTCTGATGTCTACCTGCCCCTAACCTGCACTGGTCCATGTACTCAGGGCATATGCAGGTGTTACTGTTATTTTCATCAGTGTAGATATGAAGAAAAAAAAGAATTTCAAGCCCTGGTTACTCTTTTGTTTCAGCCCAAGTGAGATGGACATAGCAAAGAGCTAGCAAGTCTACCCTTCTACTAGGCCATGGGGTCTCTGTATTCAAGGTAAATCCAGGTAGTATACTAAAACTATAACATTTGAAAAGCAATCCTTTTTGCATTTTCATTGTCTAGGAAACTACTGTATGTTCTGTTCTGTTCTGTTTATTCGTATTAACAAAATCATTCATCTGTATCTGTATAGCCGGTATAACTGCCCTTCGGCGTAACATACCAGCTTCGCAGGCACGCGGCGCGGCGGCAGCCAGCTACATTACACCAATCGACTTGTTACACCTAGCCCTTGAACATCTAACTCTAGACATTGTTCAAAGCTATCTAATGACAATGCCCCTACTGTACTTGGTGACAGCAAGTTCCACTCTGCGATTATATATCCATATTTGATATATAAAGACCAGCTCCTTCAGCTCTGTCCTTCTACTCTGTTTACCTTCACATGGTCTAGCCAAACAAGCTACTGCCCTGTTTATTCTTACCCAAACACATTCATGTATAATGTGTAAAGACCTGATCCTCCAACTCTGTCCTTGTATAAAATGTAACCCAACACCAGCTAGAGGGTATCTGCTACAGTACCAGGAACTATGGTGGCAGAGTAACAGGTTATTAACTTTTGTTTGAAGAAGAAGAGGAAGCAGAAGAAGTAGAGAAAATACAATATGTTTTCCTTGCAGACATCTGTATCTGTATAGCCGGTATAACCGCCTTTCGCCATAACACACCAGCTTTGCAGGCATGCGGCGCGGCAGCAGCTGGCTATATTACACCGATCGACTTGTTACACCTAATTATATATAACCCTTGAACTTCTAACTTGACCTTGACATACAAGATAACATGCAAGGTATACATAATAACATATAATGTGAGATTAGGTATGATATTAAGGTATGATATTTTAAGTCCTGGTCTTTGCCACTCAAAACTATACCAGCTCTGTAGTATCCTGCCGTGCAAGTTGCAGTCCTTCTGCTATATATA